CCCCAAAACCCCAAAACCCCAAAATCTACATATATGGTAATTTCTCAGGAAAAAAACAATACTTGTAAATAAGTTAATAAATTCAATTCACCCATCAATGTACTTAAAGATTTCCCTAATTATATATTTATTTAATTTAGCTTTTTTCCTTTACATCAACTTGTCCATTAAAAATGACATACCAAAGATTTTTTATATTATAGCTGTACTCATCTCCTTTTCTAAGAATTCATGATTCTATTTACAGTTTTACAATCTTGCTAATTTAATCACAGTCTTTCCAAAGTTATTAGTTAAGAGCAAATTATTGCTTCTTTGCATCAATCTGATAAGCATTTCCTGTTCATATTCAGAAAATGGATTAATTCTATGTTTAGCTACTACGTGAAGTAATGTAAGCTTAGCTTAAGGTCTATAGAAATCAATTTCAAACTTTAACTTATCGATAAAATAGAAGGCACATTTATAGAGTCCTGATTTTATTGCTAAATGCACCAGGGTAAACTCATCTTGAACATTTATATTCATTAAACTTGATAAATCGAAATAGATGGAGTAAATTTCTAATATTTTGACAATTGAATCATCTATAAACTCTTGACTTATCTGATCATCGTTTTAATACTTTTAATAGCAAATTGATTTGTCATTCTACAAAATTTGTGATAATATTTCAATTAGAATTTCAGCAAGACTATCTGTTATATGAGCTATATATTGATGAAATGTTTTCAGAAAGTAATAGTAGACGACAAATATATTTTGCTGACTAAATAAATTGTCCTAGAATTTATGCTCATATGTATGTTTTAGGGTGATATCCTCTCGTAGAATTTCTAATAATTGAGCTTTAGAGAACTTATTAACATAGAAGCTAAAAATGAGATGTTATACTGCAATATCCTCAACTAACTTCTAGCCCAAAACTCGGAAGTAGTTGAAAGGTTTGAGAACCTTTATTTACTTTATCAACTTGTCATCTACGTTAATTTATCTCATCTCTTACTTGAATATTTCATATCTATTGTTTGTAAAGTATGGTTATTTTTCAGATATTTTATCATTGGGTTATCTATTGTCATAATTTACATCTGTTTCAGATGATTATTAAGCTCCTCTATGCGAATATTTTATCATCGAACTATTGTTTCCCATTTATAGTGATTAGGCTAATTAAATATAATTTAATTTGATAACTTAAAAAATCCTATTATTCTAGCATTGGGGTTTTGGGGTTTTGGGGTTTTGGGG